TACTGCTAATAAGTTTACTCCAAGGTATCGACCTTTTGAATATGCTCCGTCAACTATAATAACTGGGCGCATGCAAGTAATAAACGAACGAATCTACAAAATCATATACACATGAAATATAATCATTTAAATGTGAAATGCATGTAACTAACAAAAATGAGTCAACAAAATTATATTGATTTACTAACCGCAGTACCAATGGCGATAAACAGCAACTTAAAGCGTCCATCTCTATATGTTTTTATATGAGTTACCGACCCAGGAGTTTTCAGCTTTAAATTGTGACAATAAGCTGGCAGTTGGGCAAACGATGCTTCTGGCGAACCCCTCAACAATTCCAAAGCATAACATTTGGCTCTCCAAGCTTGAGAATATGAGATACTAATCTTGAAACGAGCATTCATGTCAGTCATAATTTCATGTCCCCGATATACCCTGCCATTCAAAAACATTAACTCAGCCAGAAAACCACCCAACACCTTTTTGTTTGCATGTCTATGGTGAGGAAAAACTTGGGTTCTTGAACATGTATGTTTATCAATAAAAGTCCTAACTTGAAACATTTCGCAATCTTTTATCCTCTTTGCAATCATACGCCACGTACAATTTTTGTCAATCATACACCTTGTTTCGAAACGATCTTTGCTTGATTTGTTAACTTTTAGTTGATAGCCATCTTCCACACATTTCGTATACAAAGCTATCTTCAAGTCTTCCTTTGTATCAAAACAATCATCTTTCATGATACGGATAATTTTTGTGTAACAATCAACTGCTATTTTTACCAACTCTTCTTCCGGTATCTGAAGTAATTCTGGCATATTCCAGTTATACTCCCGTGGTATTTTCTTCGGGGACTTTTCTTCGGGGATTTTTTCTTCTTCTTTTTCTTCTTCAAGGTTATATGAATTACAGAATGGATGTTCAACATGTTCATTCACAGTCGTAACTTCATCCTCATTATCATCAACAACATCTTCCTCGACAGCGGCTGTTTCATCATCAAAATTCGGGTATTGACCAATATCAAAATCATTACACGCAGGGTCTGTTTCTTCTTCTAAAACATCATCAAAATCCGAGTATTGACCAAGATCAAAGTCCGGGTATTGACCAAGATCAAATTTCGAATATCGACTAATACTCACAATTTTTTCTGTTGGCTCATCATAGTCTAACTGGTTAATACAAAAATCGGAATTTGGTGCTGAAAGTTGATTGGGATTTGGATTAGGGAAAGGTTGTGGGTTTTGAGATTGTGTTTGGTATTGGAAATGTGGTGAAACAAAATTTGCTTGATGATGAAATTGTGGTGGAACCATTAAATTTTGAGCACCATAAACTGGGGTTGAAAAACTTAGTTGATTACTACCCGCTATTGACCCAACTTCACTACTTCTAGGTTCAACAACATACAATGTAACATCATCTTGCGAAACACTAATGTAAGCAATGAATCGTTCAACATCTTCATTGTCGGTTAACAAATAAACTTTACCTTTTCTCTGATAAGATAGCCTAAATCCACTTAAGGAATCTAAATTCAATTTATTTGCAACACGTAACATTAGAGTTTCATAAGTTAACTTTTTTAATGACAGTTTTAGTTGAAGATTCATGGGTAAAGGCATATATTGTAAAACACCATGAACATTCTCCCATGACCCTCCAAAACACAAATCTATCCAAACATGATCAACATTAGATGATTTCATTATTGTAAATTAATTTACTAAACAAACGAGCTGCGAAACTAAAACATGTTGCCGGATGGGGAAGGATGTCGTTGGATATAGGAACGGATGTCGCCGGAGAGAGTGATAGATGGAGATGGAATGAGTTGCGATTTAGGGATTTAGGTTATGAGTTAATGCTGTTGTGTAGTAGTTATATACCCATTTGTGTTGCGAAACTAAAACCGGTTGCGAATTTGAAATTCAGTGATGCGTTAGTTAGAATCGCGTTGCGATAGTCAGAATCGCGTTGCGATCACGTTTTATCGCGTTGCGATAGTCAGAATCTCGTTGCGATAGTCAAAATCGCGTTGCGATCACGTATTATCGCGTTGCGATATTCAGAATCACGTTGCGATCAAGTGTTATCGCGTTGCGATTTACATATTCGCATTGCGATTATCTAAAATCGTAACGCGGATTTCGAAAATCGTAATGCAATGGTCAAAATCGCGTTGCGAATATGGAAACTAAATTGCGATAATGGAGATCGCGTTGCGATTTAGAGATCGCATTGCGATTTTGTTGGTCATTTTGGTAAATCGTAAAAAAGTTGGTTAAAATTGTATATTATAAGGAATTTTCGGTCATTGAGGTTATTTTCTCTATTATCAATTAGGCCATCACCAACAACTATTCGTAGAAATTTCACATTTATTATTTATTTACTATTAGGAAAGGTTGGTTCAATAAGGAAAAAATGACAATCTCTTATTATGTATTTAAAGATTATGCTTATTTTTTTTAAGTCCAAGTTTATGGTATAATTGACCGATGTCAGTGATAAAAGAATCATTGTTATCTCTTAAATGAGCGTTCAATGTCAAATGATTAAAAATATCTTTAAACATATATTACTTTGTGCTTACTCCAGATTAATAATATTAAAAAATTTAAGTTTAGTAAGAGTTTACGAGGAGTACGTTGTTACTATAAGGATGAACATAAAAATTTATGTAGAAGGTGCGAACTTAGAGATTTATATTATAAATCTAGAGTTTATAAATTTAGATTATCAATAAAAAAATATATCTAAATTATATGAGTATTTGAAATTTTCAGGAATGCAATGACACTCAACACCCTTCGATTGATCCATACCGTTAATGACTGTGGTTATGGTGGATCAGCTTGACATAATTATTAGATTTAAAGATGATGAAAATAAGATAGGATCCACCTATATGTAAAACGCTTTTAATTTTACATAGATTTAAGATCACTGGATGAATAAAAATAGATGACTGATATTAAAAGTAGGAATTACAAAGATATTTATTAGAAGAAAAGGAATCAATCTCAGTTATTTGTTTTTAATCATCCAACGGTTTTTAATATGTGTAAAATTAAAAGAGTTTTAGATTGTGTAAATGGATCTTAACCCAATAAAAAATAAATGCAAAAAAAGATATGATTATAGTAAGTGCTTCTCTTTCGGCTTTTAGAAAAGATGTACGTGTTATTTAAAGGGCCTTGTAGTCACCACCCCCAACTAGGGATGGGGTTAGGGGGGTTGATTTGTTGCTCTAGAGTTGTGAAAAAAATTATTTGTTGAAATAAAGTCTAATTGAAATTATTTTTTGATCTAGTGTGAATGTTACAGTACTTGTCGAATGTTCGAAAAGTCGCCAGGAGGACTTGGCGACCTATGGAGGTTTCGACTAAAAGCCTAATTACCGATTTAGGTAATCACTGTTACTTATGGGAAATCAAGGAAACCAATGCTTGAACGTTCGGAGGTCTTGGCGACCTATGGAGGTTTCGACTAAAAGTTTAATTACCGATGTAGGTAATCACTGTTACTTATGGGAAATCAAGGAAACCAATGCTTGAACGTTTGGAGGACTTGGCGACCTATGGAGGTCACCCAGAGGACCTGGCGACCAACCTTTGAAATGTAGCAAATACCCCAAATGAGCAACTCTGAAGAATTTTTTTTATTTCAACTCATTATCTGAAGAAATTTGCCCGGGGTATATAAAGGCTTGTTGTTCCTTAAAATTTATTTAAAATTATTATATATTTTTATCTTCTTAAAATTATATAAGGTCTAATTAATCCTATAAAATTTTATAAATTCAAATTTATCTTATAATATAAAATTTTGTCTCCGTCGTAACACCAACGTTTTCCCTTTTACTGTTTTAATTTAGAGTGTCCACTATTTTTGTTCTACGTTAGCAAATCCAACAGAAAAAGTGGAGTTCAAAACTTAAGCAACGTTTGCATGCTATATAAACAAGACACATGCATGTCCATTCAATCAATGCTTCAATATCAAACCATCCTACAAACATAGACTACGACGTTACTGTTTTTATCAAGTAAAGTTACTTCATCAAAAGTTATTTGATAGTAACAATATTTTTTTTCTATTAAGGATCATCTTAATAGTTAAAGGGAGTATTTTCATCAAAAGTTATTTGATAGTAACAATATTTTTTTTCTATTAAGGATCATCTTAATAGTTAAAGGGAGTATTGTTAATTTTAGAAATTTTAAATTCAATCAGTTGTCTATATAATGTGTGTTGGATTAAATTTCATGATTATGAACAAATATTTCTAATGTATATTGTTATTATAAAAAATGACTCAAATCAAATGATCAATTATATTATAAAGTCACACGGTATTAGAAGTATTATGAAAATAAATGTGTAGTTACTATTAAAATTGTATTTATAATTTAATGAGAGGTAGAGTTTTAAATACAGACAATAAGTGATTCTTAAATTATCTTTATAAAAGAGTTGTAGTCCCAGAGAAATGGATTATCCCCGCCAGAGAGTTTATACTCAAAGAACTATATCTTCATAAAAAATCACAACCGAAGAAGACTCGAAGATTTAAACCTATCATTTAATTCATACCCCTGAATATACGGTACTTGAACCCAATACTTCAAGTGATAACAACTATCATTTAACTTCTGAGATCGTTTGATTCGTGCCTCGTATAAGATGTTATATAAGTAAAAATATGTTTTCTTCTTTTGGAAATCATAATTTTAGAAACTTTTAATTTGTGAAAAAGATTTATAAGTTATTAAAATTTTAAAGCACGTTAAAAGGAAATAGCCAATAATAAATTTTCATTTCAATCACAATCATGGGAATTTCACTTTATGAAACATTTACAACAACATGAACGGCTCCTAATTTTACAGCCCCCTTCTTATCAAATCAACTCCAGAATCATCGCCATCCACTTCCAGCTTTATAAATATTTGGGAAACATACACAGCCTTCAAAAAAGAAAACAAAACTATCCGTAACAATTCCCAAATTAGTAGTCACTCCTTCTGCTTAATCTTCTTCATATATATTAACAGCCGTGGAAATGGAAGACGGAAGCTGCCTCGTCAACCACCTCCCTCCGGGCTTCCGGTTTTGCCCTACCGACGAAGAGCTTCTTCTTCACTTTCTTTATCCCAAGTCCTCGCTCTTGCCTTGCTATCCCAACATCATTCCTGATCTTCATCTGCTTCACCCTTGGGAACTAGATGGTCAGCTACTCTATCTCTCTCTCTTGTTATTACATGCTATGTTTAGAGGTGCAACTTAGTTCAACAGCTCGACTCAACTAAACTTCAGTTAATTTCGACTTGAGATCTTAATTAGTTGAGTTGAGTGATAATTTGATATAATTTTAAATTGTTACTTTGATTTAATATGTTTTATTTATGTATTTGTAGATTGTTATTTTAGACTTTAGATTTTAAAATTGTTTTATATACTCTTTCGATCATTTTTTAAAATTTGTTAATTTATGTGTATACTAAGCTCTACACGGTACCACTAGATTTTACAAATATTTTAAAAAGTAAGACAACTTTTGGTGAAATTAACTAGCAGCGGAGTAAAATTTTATCAAACTTATGAGTTAAGTGCTGCATAATTTATGTTCGACTCACTCGATAAGTATCCCCAACCATGTTACCATTGTTGTTTTACGATTTCAATTCTATAAGCATCCGTTACATCCACAGTCACCTGCAGTTGAAGACTTGAAGTGTGGACGGATCAATATACAGTAGAGGAGTGAGGGTGGACATGTGTTCACTTTGAAATTTGATTTTTTTCGATTAATTACTTATTTTACTGATGGTGTCCATCTAATTTTTTCGCACCCTTTAAAATATGAGTTTTCTTCGATTAATTACTTATTTTATAGATGTTACCAACATTGAAATTTTATTTGTACTCATCTTATTTAAAAATTTTATGTTGTTAACGTATGTATATCTACCGAAATAAATTTCTTTATCCGTTGCTATTAGTGACAGTAAACGTTTTCTTCTTAGTGATATTTTGGCTTTGTTGACTGAATAGGGAAGGCACGACTGAGCGGAAAACGGTACTTCTTCTTCAGCCAAACGATGGAGAATCGAGTCCTGGAAAATGGGTATTGGAAGGAACTGGATATCGAAGAACCCATCTTCAGTTCAGGGAAGAAGGTTGGACTGAAGAAACTGTTGGAGTTCTGCATTGGCGAAGCTCCCTTTGCCATGAAAACGAATTGGTTGATGCAGGAATACCATCTTTGTAATTGGGGCTCACCTCTTTCATCACACTACTGCAAACCAAAAGGACACAAAAAAGTGGCAAGTTAAAACTTTCTTATAAATTAATTTGATTATCCAGTAAATTATGCCATTGATTCCTGATTAAGTTATTTTTTCTGTTAATGTGTAGGATTGTTGTAAATGGGTTCTATGTAAAGTTGAAGAGAGTAAGGGCAACGCTCGGAGCTTGAGCTACGGTGATGAAGATGGAAGTGAGCTATCATGCCTCGATGAAATGTTCATGTCGATGGATGATGATCTTGATGATATTTCTTCATCTAAATTTGATCTTTAGGGCACTTGATCTTCCAGTTTTATATCTAGTTTTGATGCTTGTTTGTTTTATATATTACTAAAACAAAATGCTTTGTGAAATCATATATATATACTATGCATAGTAAAGTTTATAAATGATGGAATATGTATACATGTTACACAGTTTCTTGGGGAGTGAATCTGATGCACAAGCACAGTCGCGGATTTAAGCGTTAGATATTAAAATTTGAATTTTATTCTATTAATTATTTATTTTATCGATTGAGTTCATTCCGAAATTTCGTTTATATTTATCTCGTATAAAACTTTTATATTATTGATATATATGTATGCCCATACTAAAAAATGTTTCTTGGTCTACCACAGGACGAAGTTTAAAAGGCGAAAAATCTCCCTTGCGTGTTGCCTCTTCCATATTACTAGAGGTCGCTCATTTTATTCTCATATCATTTAACATTTGTTGTCTCAGGCTCTTTCGCGTGCCTGTGGTTGTCCAATGTTGTGCAGGCTTCTGTTGGCATGCCTTGTGACAAGGCTTTGTAAGTGAAGATTTTTTTTTTCAAAAGTGCAACAAAGGATCCTGCATTTTTTAAAAAAAGTTAATGTGTCATTTCACGGTATTGATGTGACAGTCTACGATGGTTAATGACGTGACGGATGATATGGAAGATGAGCTAAATTAGTTTTTTAATTTTGTTTGAGTGTCAAATTGATTTTTTAACTTTAAGAATTTATTTAATTTTTAAAAAAAGTTATTTTAAATTTTAAATATAGAATTATTCAAATAATTAAAAAATTAAATATTAAAAATTAAAAATAAATTACTGAAAACTTGGATATACATATAAAAAAATACTAAAATTATTACAAAAATTATTTTTTTAATATATATATCATATGTTATAAAATGATAACTTATAAAATATTAAAAATTTTAAAAAAGTACTTTTAGAAAGATATATTATACATAATATATATATATATATGTAATATATAGACATATCATCAAAACTTATACAAAGTATTCTTAATGGGCTAATTGAGACTTATATTATTTAAATTGATCGAGACTTGCAAATTTTGGATTAGCCAAAATTTATTATGTTTTCTAATTATCTTTTATGTAAAAAAAATATTATATAATCATCTTTTAAATTAGTTTATACTTAAAAATAATAATTAGAAAACGTTTGATTAATCCAAAAATTATAAGTCTTGCATAATTTAAATTTTGTAATGCTCAATTAGTCTAGTAAAAATACTTTGTATAAGTGTTGATGGTATGCATATATGTTACATGTATATGTTATGTTTAATATACTTTTTTAAAAATTATATTTTAATTTATTTAATAATTTATATGTAATTATTTTATAACATATTATATATATTTTAATTTTATAATTTTTTAGTATTTATATATTCAATTTTTTAGTAATTTGATTTAATTTTTAGTATTTTTAATTTTAATTTTCTAAATATTTGAATAAATTTATATTTATAATTTAAAATAAAATTTACTTTTAAAAAAATTAAAAAAGCCCTTGATCTTAAAAAAAACAATTTGACCCTCAAACAAAATTAAAAAACCAATTTAGTTGATCTGTCATGTCATCCATCACGTCATCAGCTATCCTGAATTGCATCTGGATTTTCTGATAATTAACATATGAATAGTTAGATAATCATTTTGTAACTTTAAATAATTGTGAATGGGGAAGTTGAAGGTTGATGTGGTGTGTCTTATGGAGACTCGGATTAGGATGGTTAATATGATTGGTTGTTTCACCAAATTTTCTGAGGATTAACATTGTTGTTCCAATTATAATTATGCTGATAATGATAGGTTATGGATCTTTTGGAGGAAGCATCTGAATTTTAGGGTGCTACATAAGGCTGATTACGCTTTGTCTATTGTTGGGGATAATGAGGGACGTAGGATTGTTATCACAACTGTTTATGGGAGTAATTCTGGTGTGACTAGAATGGGTTTGTGGAGGCATCTAAGGGATTTAATTGGTCATATGGGGAATTCTCCTTGACTAGTACGGGTGACTTCAACATTATTACTTGTGCTGAAGAGAGTTTTGATTTGAGGGTTGTTGGACCTTATGAGTCTATAGAACATTATTATGACTGAGTTTAAGGAGTGTTTAGATGAGATTGAACTTATGGACCATCCTTACTCGGGGCTCTTATACACGTGGTCTAACAAGCAAGTGGGGACTTTCTGGGCTCGTAAGCTTGACAGGATATCGATTAATGCTTAATGGCTGGTTGAGATGCCCGACTCATGTGTGGAGTTTAGGACTCGGGATCTCAGACCATTACCCTGGTCTAGTGTGGTCTCAGAAGGACAATCAAACTAACATGCCTAAATCTTTTAAATTCTTTAGCCGTTGGGTTTCTCATGCCCGACTTCAATGCCATTGCTATTGTCTTTGTCCCTAAAACTCCTAATTCTTGCAAGGTTAGGGATTCCGTCCTATCTCTTACTGTTCAATAATTTATAAGACCATTACAAAGATTCCGATGAATAGGTTGGCTAAGTACTTTCTTAGGATGATTTCTTCTAGTCAATCAACTCTTATTAAAGGAAGAAACATTAGGGATAATACCTTGTTAGCTCAACAGATGGTGAAAGGATATTCTAGGACTTTATCCCCTAAATGATTCATTAAGATCGACTTGCAGAAGGCCTTTGACACAGTTAAGTGAGAGTTTTTGATTAAGGTTCTTGCTGTTTTGGGGCTGCATGAGGGATTTAGAAGGTGGATAAGGGCTTGCGTCACTACTTCTAAATTCTGTATAGTCTTCAATGGTAGTTTGGTGGGGTATTTCAGTGAGAAGAGAGGAGTGAGGCAAGGTGACTCTGTCACCTTATTTGATTGTAATGGTGATGAATGTGCTCTCCATCTGTTGAAAAAAGATTTGTTATAAATCAATAATGTTAAGGGCCAACTCATTAATTTTCAAACTTCAATTTATTCAAACGTCAGTGAGCCTTTGATGTAGTTTACCCTCTTCAATTTATTCAATTTATTCTCTCCCGAAATGCATTTTTTATCCGAATCTCCCTGTGTGTATAACCACTGCTACCGAGTTCTCGATGATAATGGTCAGCTAATTAGTCACAGCAACTTTGTACAGGTAGATTCACCTGCATGAAACAATCGTTTCTTTTTCGTTTTCCCTTAAATGCATCATTCGGCACAATAGAATCTTGCCAAGTACCTACTGATTCAGGTCAGTGAGGAAGTTGCTGTTAAAATGTATAGCAACATGGCCACCCTTCAAATTTTGGATACCATATTCTACAAAAGCTCAAGGCAAGGAAGAATTTCCTTCTACGTGACCACCATTGGAGAAGAGGCCATCAACATCGCATCGGCAGCAGCACTTAAATCAGACGACATTGTTTTCCCTCAGGTTAGAAGAAAATACATGGACATATATGCATCTATTTACGATTCCTTCGACCTTCGTTTTCCAATTCTACGGATAGAGCATAGCTTTAACCCTATGCTCAAAGCATAAAGTTCCATTAAATCATAACGCTTTAGACCAAACGTTTGAATTTCTATGCCAAAATAATGTTCATTCATATATTTTTATCTGTCGGACAACGGTTGGGCAATTAGTACACCTACTTTTAACAGCCCCTGAATCTATCAACAATTTATGTATGTTTCCCATCATATATTTTAGTCTTGCACATGGTGCAGGTGAGGGGATTGCTGTTAGAGGGCAAGCTTATGGAGTCAGGAGCATTCCTGTAGACGGTAACGATGCACTTGCCATGTACAGCGCAGTTCATGCTGCTCGTGAAATGGCGATAAAGGAACACATTCCTGTTTTGGTTGAAGTAAGGCTTCTTTTATTAAGCCTTTTCCATCGGTGGCTTTTCAGCAACGGAGAGGCATATTCATAGAGTTAAAACCTAATGGATTGTTCCTTCATCTTTTCTTCTATCATTTCGCTCAAGGCCGTTACATATCGAGTCGGACACCACTCCACATCAGATGATTCCACCAAGTACCGTCATGCGGATGAGATGGAATGGTGGAAAATGGCAAGAGATCCTGTAACAAGATTTAGGAAGTGGATTGAAGCAAATGGTTGGTGGGGTAGTGAGGCCGAGTCACAGCTCCGAAGCAGCATTCGGAATCAGGTAAAAACACTTAAAATGTGTTGTATGTTTTTCATGGTGCAATGTACGTGACATGCTTTGATGAGCCATCACTCATCAGAACTGTGAAAGTTTGAAGATCGTTCGAAGTCGTTGCTCGGTTTTTCGTTCGTCTATGTCGGTTTTACGTCCCCTTTATCCCTTTGGTTAAATTATTGTATATCGCTACTTCGAAACTAAATTCGGAAGTCTCTCAGCAACAGTTACTCTTCATGACAGTTATTGCAGGCAATTCAGATAGCAGAGAGAGCCGAGAAACCTCCGGTGAAAGACTTATTCACGGACGTATACAATAATATTCCGTCCAACCTGCGCGAGCAAGCGAAATCGCTGAGGGAAACCATCAGTAGACACCCCAAAGATTACCCTGCAGATGTTCCGGTTTAGGTGAACCATAAATTGCACGCAGTAATTTATTCTGTAAAAGCTTGAACTTGTGATCCTGCAATTGATCAGGGAAATATGAATTATTTGATCCAAATGACTGAATGGTATTATATCTACTGGAATTATATGCCTTTATAAGTAGTTTTTCTAAGGGCATATAAACAAACAAAACAAATGACTTTATAAGTAAAAGATGTAAATTCCTGTTTTATGCTCTTATTATTTCTTTTTTGCAATTTGATGACATTTTCTTATCACCCAAAACACACATACACGCATTGTACATCAAACTTTAAGGTGAGAAATATGTCAAATTATGGATTTGGTCCCTCTACTGTACTCATATTTGAGATTCTTAGCAGAAATGTATGGTCGATCAACTACATCGTGCCCCGGAAACAAATCCACTAATCAGGGACAGACGCAGGATCTTATGTTAGGGAACGAACTTGAATTTATAAAATTATAGGAGGAAGAACTTAAACTTATAAAATTTTAGGGGGCTAAAATATATTTTTAATAGAAATTATATAAAAATATATAAAATATAAGGTAATTTTAAAATTTTAAGAGGGCGACTGTTCCCACCCACCCGTGGGTCAATCCATGCAAGGCTGCCACTAATCCTAATTTGTAACTATTTTATAACTATTTTATAACTTTTAATACTCGAGTGACTCAACGAAGCAATTACCTATAGTCAAGGGACTATTCCGTAACTTTTAATAGTCAGGGGACTCAACAAAGCAACACTTTATAGTCGATTACATAACCTTACTCCTATATATATAGTTGTAGATTACATAACCCTTGCCCAACGGCAGAAGATAGTGGGGACATGTGGAGGTAGGGTTGTAAATGAGACGATGTAGATCGCGAGTTACTTGAAATCGACTCGGTCAAAATTCAATAAATACTCGAATCGAATGAACTCGACTCGAGCTATAACTCGACTCGAGTTCTTAACGAGCCGAAACGAGCTACTTGATACTCGACTCGAAAAACTCATGAGCAGATCGAAAATATAATATATTAAGATTTTATTTTTAAAAAAAGTAAAGTATTAATAATATTATCATCTATACGTTGATTTTTTATAAATATAGTAAGGTTTTCAAGAATTTAAGGTTCAGTTTGAGTTTGAGGCTGCAATCGAGTTAAGTTTAATTTTTTTTTATTTTGAGCCTTTTCGAGCTTTTACGAGCTTTAGTTAATGAATTCGAGTTTGAATCGATCTTGAAAAATTTAAGCTTGCGAGTTTTCGAGTCGAGTCGAACTCCATTTAAGAGTTTTCGAGTCGAGCTCAGCAATACTCGAGCTCGACTCGACTCGTTTACACTCCTATGTGGGGGCCATGGCTCCCCCAAATTTTGGAAATTTTCAATTTTAAACATTTAAAATTTAAAAATAAAATTGCCCCCTTAAAACTATCAGAAATTCATATTAAATTTCAATTTTTTTTAAATGATCTTAATTAAACCACTTCCATAATTTTTAAAAAATTCTCATTAAGCTTCTAAAATTTTCAAAAATTTTAGTTAAACCCTAATTTTTTGTTGTTGAAAAAAACGTAAACCGAGTTCTTTAAATTTTTTATAAAAAAATAATTTAAAACTTTAATTTTTTTTAAGTTTTAAGTTGGTCACCTCAAACTCTATCCCCAAGTTATGCCATTGCCCTTGCGCCTGCGGTTACTTCAAGAAACATACACATTTGACTGATTGATCAAGCTGCTCGTCTTTATTTCTTATATTCTCTTAGGTCACATATTCTAAATCTACTAGGAGTATTCCTCTTCTCCTCTCCTTTAGGTAGAATTAAAATTAAATCGAGAATTTATCAAAAAAAATTAAACTAGTGGGAAAATAAAAAGTTCAACTGAGAGACAAGAAAATGTTCAAAGTCCAAAAACAAATAAGATTTTTGGAATGCATGCCAAGACAAAATAAATAATTTTCTTCATATCAATCCTCCTTCTAGAGTTTTATTTTGAGACTTTTGTTTTATCGTATTGTCAATTGTCTCTTTCAATTGCATCATGGATCCATGTTCCTTTCTTATCCAACACAGGTTTTAGTAGCCTACTCATTTCATATTTATATACATGCATGCATACAAAATGGGTATTCATAAGACATTGGTTTACATAAGAATTTGTCTTTTCCCTCACAATTTTGTATTTGGGGATTTGCATAATCAAATAAATTATGGATTAGATTTGCATAATCAAATAAATTATGGATTAGATTTGCATATTAAGTAATTAGGTGAGCAAGGGTGAAATAAATAAGTATATAGAATGATGGGGTCCTAGAATAGATGAATAAACAAATTCATTAAATCGAGTCTTAATTGTTTGTACTCTTTTGTTTTGGTTTAGGGTAAACTACATAGACAGTACCTTACTCCAGAAACTTTTTTTTTGTTATCTCTCTACTATTAAATGTTACAAAATGGTCACCCAAT